GTCTTTTCACTTTTAAATACATCATTTTGTACAGATTTTTTAAAAGAAATAATACAATATTATATCTGAATTAAATTTTTATTCTACAACAAAAAAATATTTTAATGTCCATGGGGGTCAATTCTCGACTTGTAGGAACCTTTTCCTATAGGAATTTGTGACACTTTCCTACATGTAGACAAATGTCATAAATTTCCGATGTGTAGAAAAATGTCAAAAATTCCTATAGGAAAAAATTCCTACGAGTCGAGAATCGACCCCCAGGGGGTCAATTCTCGACTTGTAGGAACCTTTTCCTATAGGAATTTGTGACACTTTCCTACATGTAGACAAATGTCATAAATTTCCGATGTGTAGAAAAATGTCAAAAATTCCTATAGGAAAAAATTCCTACGAGTCGAGAATCGACCCCCAGGGGGTCGATTCTCGACTTTTATTCCCATGGGAAAATAAAATTTTCCCCTGGGAATTCAGTTTTCGTATTCTCGGCATAAGCGGTGGAATATTTTCCAATGAGTAGTATGGGAAAATATTCCCCTGCTTACGAGCATTGGAAATTGTGTTTTACAATGGGAATTGTACTAGAGTTTGCGCATTAAAGTCGAAAATTTGACGAAAGACTACGCGAAAGACTAAGACATAACCAAAGATTATTGGATATCTTGGATTTTTGGTGAAATTGTAGTTAAAACATTTTTTTGGTGTATTTATAGATTGATATTATTTTATTTATGTGGGTATATTATTTTTACCTCTTTCACTAAGAAACTGATTTTCTTAAATTAGTTAGAAATTGTGGGAGCTGCTAAGGGACTGGCAAATAGGTAACACAAATTGAGAAATTTGTAATAAATTTAATAAGACCTTTTCGAAAATTTTATTATTTCCCTTAACGAAAGAATTTCTTAGTTTCTCGAAACTTTCGTTGCTCTTCCATACAAAAGCTACTTTTTCTTTTTTCAACATGTGAAAAGAAAAACTAAAAATAACTCGATAAGTTTTAATTATACATAATCGAATATTTTCACTTGTCCTCGGTCATGCGAGCGATTGCTCGGCACGGCATCTGCTCCAGCGCAGAGGCTCGGCAGGTAATCGGTTACCGAAAAACCACAACAAATACAAATAATACCAACAGTAAATTTTAAAATATCTTTAATGTTATTGGTTATTTCGAAATATTCGTGAACTTAATATCAGACATACGTGAAACTATTATTTCCATGGGAATGTCTATTCCGACAAGTTCGAGAATTGCATAACCTATTACCATGGGAATATAAGTAGTGGAATCTTTTCCCATAGGAAAATTTTCCAATGAACTCGAGAATCGAGCCCCTGGGGTGTGTTCATGACGCTTTACCCGAGTGAAGTTAAGATGGCGTCGGGTAAACTCGCAGAGTTAAAATATTATGGCTCCGTTATGAACGCTGTTGGGTACTAGGCAGGGTAGTAGGTTGTTTTTTATTTTGGTTTTTAGGATAGGTTTGCAATATTTAAAATATTTTGCTAAAGATGGACAATAACAACAATAAATTACGAGTAGTTGTTTCTCTAATAATTTATTTTTCACAGAAAATCATTTTAAATGATGCTGTAAGGAAAAATAATTTTTGTTCTCATGTGAAGTTTCCCTATACTCATAGCCAATTATTTTTAATTCATGTTCCATACTTATTTTGTTTTAATTATACTTAAATTATGTATTATAATTCAAAATAAAGAAGTCATATTAATTGCATGATTTGTAATAACAGTCAAATACTAATGAAAAAGTCAGGTCAAGAAGTTTTGTTGTTTTTGCAAGCATCGGCCATTTTTATCCATTCTGACAGGACGTTGGATTGCCTAATTTTACCTACAGCCTAACCAACAAAATTTTTAGAAACTATATATTGCGCAAGTGGAGTTATTTTTACGCACCTATCTGACCATCGTAAAGAATGTAAACTCTTGCTGTGCACTCTTGCTGTGCACTCTTGCTGCGTTTGAGAATCCACATCGGATGCATTTTTTACATCTCGAGCGTTTTTTTATCCACATCGGACACATCTATCCCATTACATTTACGTATACTGAATCACGTGATCAAAGATTTTTTACATCTCAGATGCATCCAATGAACAGGGGAGCTATTTTCAAACTCGAGAGAATTCATTTCTCTCAAGAGAAATGTCATACGTCAACGTAAAACCGTATTTTTAGGGCTCTTAGGGCCAGTGTGAACTCACTGACTGTCTCTCTCGGTTTATTTAGAGAGAATTAAAATCTTCCTAAGAATTTTAATCCTCGATGTCTTTAAATACAGCGTTTCCACATTGACGTATGACATTTCTGATGAGAATCTTGAGAGAAATGAGTGCTCACATACTTTGAAAATAGGTCCCCTGGAGTGGGGTAGAATGCTTGTCAATAGGCTTGAGATGCGACTCTATGGGCGAAGACAGGGTTATTTTTCATCTCACTCGGGAGTATTTATAACGACCATTTTCTATTTCACTTTGTTATTGTCTGATCCACCAGCCTGTGGATTGAACAATAACAATGTGAAACAGAAAATGGTTATTATAAATACTCCCGAGTGAGATGAGAAATAAAAATGGCTGCGCCCATCGAGTCGCATCTTGTTCAATTGATACAATATGCACATTAGCTTTCTACCCCACTCCAGTTCATTGGATGCATCGGATGTGGATTCTCAAACGCGGCATAAAGTGTTAAATTTTAGCCGACTCGTGAACGACTTTCGCGAGTAAAAGTGTAAACAAGTGATGCATAATGAACGGTTTGAGTCAACTCAGGGTGAATCGAGTAAGCGTCATGAACGTAACCCAGGGGGTTAATTTTTGAATCATTCGCCACCCTGACGTATGCGAAAACGTATACTTTTACCTAAACTGTATTTTTGACTTACTCGATTCGTTTTCGCATGCGAAATTGACGTCACTTGCGAATAGGCATTTAATAGGTTTTGTAATGACATGACGTTTATTTATCTTGGTAATTGCTCGAAGGGTAAAGCAGTTTCATACTAGGTTTCTATCGAATTTTGCTGAAATTATCTACAACTCTTCGTTAGGTTGATCTGTTCGCAAAATATTTATCGAAGGACATTCAAAAATATACTTTCCTTGACCAATGAAGTGGAGAGGGGTAGAATGATAACTGTCAATGAAAAAGTCTGGACACTATGCACAATTTCGTTTTGCACATTTTGTAAACAAAATTCAGGGACGGTTTAACAACATTTTGTGCAACAATTATAAAATAGTGCATCGAAAAATAATTAACAAGTATAATTTAATACTAAATCGGAATAAAAGCATAAACAATCATAAATATAAGCAAGATAACAAAGAATTGACGCCAAAAAAGCTTACAACAGCCCAAACACAAACAAAAAACAAAGCTGAACATGAACATAATCGCTGAATAAAGTCGATCCTGGAATTTATTTACAGTGCTTTAGGGCAACCTCTCCTTGTCATTTACGTGTGTAAGAGTGGAAGACTGAATCACGCATAATTTCTACACTCGTGATGGATGCGCAGACGGTACCTTATCGTTCTACCCTCTCTACTTCTTTGTCCTTGACGCATGCGATAAATGTGCATATGTCAATTGACGCATACTACTTTTAGCGAATGGTTTCAAAAATTTACCCCCTGTAACTTTAGAGACGTTGTAACCGAACTTCGATTTTAGTTCAAGGACGACTTACCCAAGTCCGACTCAGATTAGTTCTGTTTATAAATACGGACCTTAGTGGAGTTTTCGGGCCACATACTTTGATTTTCTTTACTATACGGGGCAAGAGAGAGGTCCGACACGCCCAACATAGGGCGCAGCCATTTTGAACTCTATGACACAGTTAAAGAATCAGATCGATCACTCTGCGTCGGCAGTTTTTATCTCAATGTTCCAGTTTATACACTGCGCAACTCAGATAATACAATATATGACAACCGCCTATAATGAAACAGCAGTCTTCTGCGTATCCTGAATTTGTATCCCTGGAGTTGATGTTATTTTGGAACTTTCAACTGGTCCGAGTGAGCTAACTGATTCTTTAGCAATAAACTGTGACTCCAAAAATAATATTCACTGACACTGACAGCAGCAAGCAAAATATCAGATGAGTTTTAATCATCCGCTTCTGCCTCCGGAATTGTCGGTTCAGTCGTTCTAACCTGTCAGATTAAAACAAGAAAACCGACAATTCCGAAGCAGAAGCGGATGATTAAAACGCACCTATTAAAAAAATGGCGCCAAGATGTAGGCAACACGTAATAAGGGTTCAAAATGGCGGAGTTTTCTATCTCCTTTTAAAAGGCACTCAGAAAGCTGCGCAGTGCGACCATTCTCCGTATAGTAAAAGAAAATCAAAGTATGTGGTTCGGGCAAAGCTCGGGGTTTGTGCCCAGTATAATGCCAGTATATTGTGAACTCAACTTCTGTTGGTCACCATCACGCGATGTCATTCACCGGGGTCACCATGCTATAGGCGAGTTCGGATAGTCAGGGGCTGGAGCGGGACAAAACTGGAGTTTTTTAGGGTACTTTTAAATGACATTTAGGAGTCGATTCCACCGTTGTGTTAAACCATTGCGTTCGGTCTACCAAGTTCCTTTAACTCCTTTAACACTTTTTACTCCAAACGACCCTTTTAGCGTTCGGTTTAGTCCACATACTTTGATTTTCTTTTACTGTACGGAGAATGGTCGAACTGCGCAGCTTTCTGAGTGCCTTTTAAAAGGAGATAGAAAACTCCGCCATTTTGAACCCTTATTACGTGTTGCCTACATCTTGGTACAATATTTTTAATAGGTGCGTTTTAATCATCCGCTTCTGCTTCGGAATTGTCGGTTTTCTTGTTTTAATCTGACAGGTTAGAACGACTGAACCGACAATTCCGGAAGCAGAAGCGGATGTTTAAAACGCACCTGATATTTTGCTTGCTGCTGTCAGTGTCAGTGAATATATTTTTGGGGTCACAGTTTATTGCTAAAGAATCAGTTAGCTCACTCGGACCAGTTGAAAGTTCCAAAATAACATCCACTCCAGAGGCGAGTTCGGATATAGTCAGGGGCTGGAGCGGGACAAATTTTAGGGTGCTTTTAAATGACATTTAAGCGTGTTAAACTGTCACTAATCGGACTAAACATCTATGGACTAAACCGAACGCTAAAAGCGTCGTTTGGAGTTAAAAGTGTTAAAGGAGTTAAAGGAACTTGGCAGACCGAACGCAATGTCTGTGTATCAACATCAACTGTAAATAGTGTCAAATATCAGTGTCATAAATTTACAAAAGGGAAAAAATACAAAATAGATTTTGTACAAAAAACATTTTTAAAAACTGGCGTATATTTAGTACTTTAGCTATTAATAAGAATAAATTTGTAAAATAAGAAAATGGCTCCCCAAATGAAGAAGATTAAAACATATGGACCATCAAATACTAGCTTAGTCAATAACTCTGTAGATGCATTTAATGTTTTATTTAGTAATCATAAGCGAAAGACTATAATTAAAAAGAAAAGAAAGAAAATGGAACATCTAACAAAAGAATTGCTTACCAGACCAAAATTTACATCAGGTCTAACAAATGATTCTTTTCAAATATCAATGAATGACACATTTGATAAAGTAAAGCAATCTGTTAATAAATCAAAATCATTAAATAAATCAGAGGTAGGACGTTTTATTTCAGAAGATATTACCATTCATTCACCGATTTTGTTGAGACGCAGAAAGAACTTTTTAGACAGCTCCAATTCATTGCAAATATCTGAAATATCAGATTCATATGAAAAGACCCATCTAAAAATTCTTAAAGGACCATCTGAAGATAAAATAGATGGAAGTTTGGAAATTGAGGTACTAGAAAATAAACAATATCTTAGCTCTTTGAGTTACATTAATGTTGAAAAGACAGAAAACTCCCTCAAAATATCGAATAGTTTAAACTGTTCAAAATTGGGTGCTTCAATAGATACTTTTTCAAAACATTTAGCCCATTGTAGTACCCCTGTATCACAATTTAAACATCCAAATTTAATCAATCAAACAGTGTCTCCTGCAAAAATTAATTCACTTGTACATGAGGAAAGTAGTATGTTTCACACACAAAGTAAAAATCTTAATAAGACTGAGAATAGAAGCATGGATAGAAATAAGTATGTAGAATCTGAAAGTTCTGATAATAATACTCCTCAAAAGAGAAAGAGTTTCATAACTTTAAGAAAAAGAAAAATATTAAAGACGAATGTACAAGATGTGAAAAATAAAAGTCTGAGAAAATACTTAACATCAACACTGCCATCTTCCAGTTACTTTGAAAAGAACCTAGAATCTTTTAATGACAGTGAAAAGCAAGGATTTGCTTTAACAACAAGCTTAGATTCTTTTGCTAAATTTGAGAATAAAATTGCTTATATTTCCAAAAAACTCGACTCAAAAGATAATTTTGTTACTAAAAGGAGAGCTATTAGCAAAGAAATTTTTGAATCAAATGATCTGTCCTTTGGGTTAGAAAATGGTAAATATTTAGAAACCAATAAAAAAATTGAAAAAGAAATTGAGAATAAAAAAAAAATGTTTATCGAGTTGCAAAGGCTGCCTCTCATTTCAACAAACTCTTCTACCAAATTGGAATCAGATTTTGAAAAATTCTATTCACACAATATTTCCAGCGAATTAGCTGACACAAAATTAGAAAATAAGACTGATAACTCTTTAGAAAAATTCGAACAATTTTATACCAGTAATTATATTTGTAGTCAGAACAGTGATCAATGTGCAGAAATATCTTTTCTAACTTCTAAAAAAACATCAGCACAATGTGACAGTTTAGAAGCAAACAGAGATGAATTTGAGAAATTTTATGTGAGCCATTATAGCTGTAAGGAAGACACTATTCAAAAAAATATAATAATTAAAGATTTAAGAGTAAACATAATTAAAGAGTCTTTAAGAGCACAAAAAAATAAAAATATTTTGGGAGTGTCCAATGATTTAAATACTGATAATATTGAGAAGGAAATAATCAATGAGACTGACAACATTGAAAATACTAACGGAGTGCCAAGGAGTAATGATGAAATAATTGATCTCACTGATAGTACTGTGGAAAATATAGAGCCTCAAGGTAATTTAACAAATGGTTCTGGCCATAATAATAGGATATTAAGGATAGAATTGACACGAAATAACTTTAGTGATCTGATGACTGCACCTACAAATGATTCAGATAGTACAGTTAAATGTATCATGTCAAACAATACAAGTACAAATTACGAGGATCATTATGATATATGCAACTTTCCTTTGCCTACTGTGGAAGATATTGGTGCTGATCAGGAGAAATTTTTTAATTTAGTTGATGAAGAAAGCTTAGATGTTATAGAAAGTTCTTATATTGAAAGTCAACTTTTAGACAAATCTAAAAAGAAAACTACAAAAAATTCATTGAGATCAAAGACTTCTGCAGGAGGCACTAAGTGTGAGAAATTACAGACATCTTCTGAAATAACTCCAAATAAATCAACTAAAAGTGGCACAATTCAGAATTTGCACCATTCTTCAATAACTACTACATCTTTATGCCAAAAAATAGTAAATAATTCCTGTGGTATTATAGACAGATCTAGAGTTTCAAGGAACACAGTATTCGATAAAGGCAGTTTTAAGATGCCAAAATCGCCACCAATCCACCTGAAAGGTGGTAAGAGTTGGAAACGGTCTATGTCTATTTACAGAAATAGTATTGGTGGTTTTTCAAAAGAAGATGGCCGCAACTCATATTTAGGTAAGTTTAAAAAATATATGTGTTATATTACACAAAAAAATGAATTTGCCTTTAAAATATTTTGGAATAGGGGGATTGGTGGCTGAGTGGTCAGAGTCTGCCATCCAAAGGTCCACGATTCCAATCCCATTATTGGCCAGGATTCTTTTAAATTAATTAATTTATTTAAAAATATTTGTGATGAATAAGTACCTATAATTCCCCACTCGACCATTCACTGTTGGGCTTTATTTAACAGTGTGGTTCCTAAAGAGTCACTGGGAAACAGTAACAAAGTTTACCCTGACCACACATTAATAAAAAATATGATATAAAGTAATGTGGTAAATAAAATTACTTCTCTCATACACAAAAAACATTTTGGAATTTATTTAAATACTAATGTTCTTTTTCAGCAAAAACTTGCCCTAAGGGTAAACTGACTAGATTGTCAAATCAAAGAAGTCGGAGATTGTCAATATGTTTAGTTCCTATGTTAATAATTGATTTAGAAAAAACTATTCAAAACCCTTTAGTAGAATACGCCTTAAGTAATAGTAAGTACTTATCAATATTGTTTTATTTAATTTTGTTTTGAATAATAATTTAGCGTTCTTTAACTTTTTAAATTATACTTTGTGCCACGTTATATTTTGTCCCTTCTCAGACCTATATAACTTAAACTAGTTGTTATAATGAAATGCATGATCTGTCTTTTTGTCTATTTTCCGGTTTAACCAAGCGAAAATTACATAACATATTTTTAGGGGTATGGCAACTAAGTGTTTTTAAATGAAACATGTTCTTCTGATGTAGCACAAGGGCCCCACTTAACACCTTTACTTTTTAATTTATTCTTTAATGGTGTTGGATCTGTTTTTGTGGGTGTTGTAATAAACTTGAAAAAGATTTTCATGCCTTATGTGATTCGTCTTCCTCTAATAATCTAACCATAAAACAGTACTAATTTTTGCTATATTATTTTTACAAAAAATCGTAATCAAATAACTCAACTACTGTCTGGATAACTATACATTAATTAAACATGTTACCGAAATTAAAGTCTTGTCGAATCTTATTTTACTCTGATCTTTCTTTTAATATTCATATTATATAAAATCGTTTATTTAGTCAAAAAAACTATTTTTTACATGTTAATACATCTTTAAACACATTTAAAATATAAAAAATACATAAGTATAGAATCAACATGCATTCAAAATACAATAAAATACATAAGATACAGTACACTTACATGTCAACTATACAAAACATAATAAAAGAACAAAAAAAAAATCAATTGGTCAGCAAGTATTCACGCAGTTTTTTTAAATATTGCTGCATTTCAAGAACATTTAATATCTTCAGGCAAATTATTAAAAGCCTGTACACTTTTAAAAAACACTGAAGTTTGTGTACATTTTTTCGTGGCCTTATAAACAAATTTTTCTTATTTCGTATATTTTGTAAATATACTGGGGAGATTCCTGATTTAATCTTAAATATATATAGCAGGGAATAGAATAGCAAATATTTTTTAATAGGCAACCACTAAAGCACATTCAACATGGAATTGATTGGTTCCAATCTCGAACAGCTCAGTATTATCCTCATGCCTCTATTCTGCAACTTTTGCAATCATTGCAACTCATTATGGTTGAGCAAATACAATATGGTGGCACATTAATTAAAATGAGGTAATATTAGAGTATTATAAATTATTATATTAGCCAGTGGCGGTTTGCCCGTACGGGCACTTGGGAATGTGCCCTAGTATAATAAAACAAAAAAAAAAACTTACATATTTTATATTTTCCTCAATGCCTATTATTATTTTATCTAATATTCAGCGCAAACCGCGTTGGCACGACACTGGACGACCGGGCGTTGAGCGACGTTCCGAGAATTCCGAAATTAAGTGGAAGATGGGCACAGGGCACAGTAAATGTGTGCCTCTGTTGTTTTCTCTCTCATTATGATGCGAAAAACAAGGACAACGACAATATCGCTTAGCAAGAGATGAACGCATGCGATGGATTATACGTCACAAGCGGGGCGCTATCCTCATCGTGACGTGCTGTTCCCATGGCACAGATTACCTAGACCAGATACGAGTAAGCAGCGGCATCTTTACCGGCTCCCTCACAAAGGCGATGCCGGTTTCGGCTTAAGGTGCGCGTTTGTTGCACCATGATAATCATTTATTTATTGTGATTACGAAAAAACGTTAGTTGGACCATTGGAATAGTTAAGAAATAAAACTACAAAGAAAAATAACTTTTTTATTTATAAAGCAATCAAAAATATGATAAAAAAAATCAATAATATTTATAAATGGGACATTTTAATTTTTCTTTTGATTTTGTCTGACTTTTTCGAGGATTTCAAATCTCTGTTTGAATATTTAAGAGTATAAAAAATTCTGAGTCTTATAAATAATTCAGTGGTGTACATTTTCGCAAATTGTTGGCAAAAGGTTGACCAAATTCTATTTTGCTCATCTCAAAAAGGTATGCGTTGGAAATTCCAGGCTTAGTTGACAAACTATCAAATAGAGATATAAATATTTTTTCTAATTTGAAAATATAAAAGAGAAATTTTTCGCTGGTAGATTTTAAATTGCCAAACACCTTTTATTCAGAGTCGTATGCTTTAAAATGCGTTAACAAGTTAGAATTGTTAAGTAAATTGTATTATTCTGAGAAATTTACGCAAATTTCGCAAGAGTGGATATGTAATGATTTTTTGATTAAATAGCCACATACATAGTTAAATGCATTTTGAGTGGTCACATTTAGCTCCCTGTAGTCACATTCAGAAATCATTATTGCCCAACTGATTGTTTTAAAATATATTTAATTTTCATTAAGCGGAGAACTTGTTTTCCTAAGGGAAAAACGAATCCCGGGATTCCTTTCCATTGTGTGCCCCACTGCCGCTAGTGCCCACGAGCCGCCACTGATTTTAGCCCAATTGCTGAGATGTGGAGAATAGCGCCTCAAATAGTTTATTTTAAAATGATATGCTTTTGATGACGTTATTAGCATGTTCCTTAAATTGTAAATTTGTATCAACCATAACCCCTAGATATTTAAATTTTTCAACTCTCTGAAACTGTCTTCCATCAACAGAAACACACTGCAATGCTACATTTAATTTTTTAAATTTCCAGCACCCCCAATTAACATCCACTTTGTCTTTTCGTAATTTATTTTCAACGAATTTCTGTTACAATAATCATATATTTTACTTATAGAACTATTAATTTCTTTAAAACAAGTTTCAGTGTTTTCATGGGTAGAATAAATCAGTGTATCATCTGCAAATAAGTGTATTGAGCATCTTTCGACTACACCAGCAATGTCATTAATGTAAATTAAAAACAGTAGTGGACCTAGAACAATACCCTGTGGCACCCCCATATTATTCTCTATAGTATCTGAAACACAATTACTTACCTTAACCTTCCGTTTCCTATTTTCCATATAATGACCCAACCAGTCCATTGCACGACCCCCCCAAACCAGTAGCTCTTAATTTCATTAATAATCTACCCCTATTAATAGTCTCAAATGCCCTCTGTAAATCTAAAAACACCTCCAGTGTAACAAAATTATTTTCAATTGATAACTTCCAGTCAGGCAACACCAACTATAAAGCAGTTTCTCAGTTGTGTTTACTACGGAATCCTGATTGCACATTGCTTATCAAACTGTTCCCCTCTAAATAATCAATAATTTGAAGATATATTACTTTTTCTATTAGTTTTCCAACAGCACTGATCAAATTTATCGGTCTTAAATGGGTAGCCTTACTTGGATTCGAAATTTTTGGTATCAGAATTATTGTAGCAATCTTAATATCGTCTGGAACTAAGCGTGTTACAATAAGAAAATTTATAATATGTAATAGAGGTTGGGATAAACTCTCAAAACATTCTTTTAATAAAATTGTGGATATTTCATCTGAACTATTTTTATTTGACATTGAAAATAATATTTCTTTTAATTGATTATAATTAATTAGTTTAAAATTTACAAAAGTTTCAATTTTACTTAGATGAGGTATAATCGTATAATTATTAATGGAAGGTAACTGCTCAGATATTTGTTCAATACTCTTTACATAGTAATAATTTAAAGCATTTGGAAAAGTAAAATCCTGACGATTGTCACAAATATTGTCGAATTCAATATTAGTATTAGTAAAACTGCTTGCGATATTAGCTGATGAAATCAAAGTTTTCCACATCTCAGTAGGGTTACCCTTGTTTGAATCTATTTTAGGTTCCAAGTATTTGCTTTTTTCATATTTAATTATATTCACTGCTTTATTCCTATTACATTTATATATTTGCCAGTTTTCCTCCGATTTGTTAGTAATAAATGTTTTATAACTTTTATCTCTCAAACTAGTAGCAGCTCTAACCTGATCATTCCACCAGTTCTGATTAATCAAATAGTTAATAGGGTAATGAAAATGTTAGGCATGCTGATAAGAAACTCTTTGGATAGTTATTTATAGAATTGTTTATATTGCACATTGCTTTAAGACGATTTCAGATCGAGAATCTGCAAAGCTCCAGTGCGTTGGATGTAATTTTTTCATGCATCTGAACTGTACGGATTTAAAAGTCGATCGTGTCACTCACCTAAAATTTCGATGCATTAAAATAGTTTGTAACCGATGCTACTCAATTGTAGATCAGTTTAGCGAAGTTAAAGACATACTAGAGACATTTAAAATAAATATTGATAAAAAGGTTGATTCTTTTGATGAAAAACTTAACGATATACAAAATAATATTGAGTAATTTAAGGATCATGTTGAAAACTTTGAATCTCTTCGTTCTCCTGAATTTATCAAAAATGTTACTGCAGAAGCAGTTAATAGAATGCGCTGTGCCAAGAATATTTTAATTCACGGGGTCGCAAGGTGACAAAAGAAAACGAAGACAAGTGTGCCAACAACACTGAATCTGTCCAACTTTTTTTGTAACATCTTCTGCCTTCAGTAATGTCTTCACACTTGAGGATCTGACATCACCACTTCCCGACATATATCTACATCAGATACAATCCGTTATTTCCAATTATGTTTTGACCCAGACATAATAAAGAAAAACTCCTCGCCAAGCTTAGATGGTATCTCTTTTCTTTTAAAATCTTCTGCTGACAATATATGTTATCCTATTTCACGTATGTAATATACTTTTTTTTAAAAAAATATGTTTCACCTTCAGCAATTTTGCAATTTCCAATTTTTTTTATAAATATTTACACTCGTGTTTACATTTTTTGAAAAGGAAAAGAAAAGACTCTTTGAATATATAAAAATATTCTATTTGAAATTACGCAGTTTTGACGTGTCCCCGAAAATTTGTTAAACCGGAAGTGGATACCTCCTCGGAGAAAATAAAACAATCATGATAAAGACTGGTGAAACAGGATTTCATTATCTAAAGTTATATAGGTTTGTTTGAAGAGGGTCACAATTCCAGATGAATCCTAAGTTTATACTTTTTTTTACCTGTGTATAATAGATGTCATTAAAATAA